CACACTCTGTCATTTTGTCTCACTCTCTGTCCCTCTGTCTCACACGCTGTCCTTTTGTATGAGATTATTTCCCCTTGTCTCACTCTCTGTCCCTCTGTCTCACCCTGTCCCTCTATCTTACTCTGTCCCTCTGTCTCACCCTCTGTCCTTTTGTCTCACTCTCTGTCCCTCTGTCTCACACTCTGTCCTTTCTCTCACACTCTGTCCCTCTGTCTCACACTCTGTCATTTTGTCTCACTCTCTGTCCCTCTGTCTCACACGCTGTCCTTTTGTATGAGATTATTTCCCCTTGTCTCACTCTCTGTCCCTCTGTCTCACCCTGTCCCTCTATCTCACTCTCTGTCCATCTGTCTCACTCTCTGTCCCTCTGTCTCACACTGTCCATCTGTCTTACACCTGTCCTTTTTTCTCACATTATGTCCATCTGTCTTGCTCTCTGTCCCTCTGTATCACTCTCTGTACGTCTGTCTCACAGTTTTTTCCCTCTGTCTCACACTCTGTCCCTCTGACTCACACTCTGTCCTTTTGTCTCACTCTTTGTCCTTTGTCTCACATTCTGTCCCTCTGTCTCACATTCTGTCCCTCTGTTGCACTCTCTCTCCCTCTGTATCACACTGTCTCTCTGCCTCATTCTCTGTCCCTCTGTCTCACACTCTGTTCTTTTGTCTCACATTATGTCCTTCTGTCTTGCTCTCTGTCCCTCTGTATCACTCTCTGTCTGTCTGTCTCACAGTTTTCCCTCCCTGTCTCACTCTCTGTCCCTCTGACTCACACTCTGTCATTTTGTCTGACTCTTTGTCCTTTGTCTCACACTCTGTCCCTCTGTTTCACTTTCTGTCCCTCTGTCTCACTCTCAGTCCCTCTGACTCACACTCTGTCCCTCTGCCTTATTCTCTGTCCCTCTGTCTCACTCTCTGTCCATTTGTCTCACACTCTGTCCTTTTGTATGACATTATTTCCCCTTGTCTTACACACTGTCCCTCTGTCTCACCCTGTCCCTCTATCTCACTCTCTGTCCATCTGTCTCACTCTCTGTCCATCTGTCTCACTCTCAGTCCTTTTGTCTCACATTATGTCCCTTTGCCTTGCTCTCTGTCCTTGTATCACTTTCTGTCCGTCTGTCTCACAGTTTTTCCCTCTGTCTCACTCTCTGTCCCTCTGACTCACACTCTGTCCTTTTGTCTCACTCTTTGTCCTTTGTCTCACATTCTGTCCCTCTGTCTCGCTGTCTGTCCCTCTGTATCACACTCTGTCCCTCTGTCTCACACTGCCCCTCTGTCTCACCTCTCATAAACAAACAGTCGGGGTGATGAGGGGTGCTGGTGCCTATCTCCAGCTGTCTATGGGTGAGAGGCGGGGACAGGTCACCAGTCCATCTCAGACTGTATTGTCTTATTTTAAGGGGAAAATATCTGATCAGATTAAGGACGTTTTAATACATTTTCTTCATTTGTAGAGTTTTTGTTTTCAGCATAGTAAGCATCTCCTTTAAAGTCCTTTATTAAATAGAAAATAAGTTTGTTGTGGCCAAAATGCACCAAAGAACTGAGTGAGCCTTCTTGTTAGTGCAGCAGCTTTGTTGTTTTCCTCCATCAGTGGAGTTCATTAAGTCCATTATTAGATCCAAAGAACTTCCGGTAAGCGGTTTATCCTGTCATCTGATATATTTTATCCTCTTCTAACTTTCACTGCAAACAGCAATAAATCAACTTATGCATGATTTTATTTTTTAATTATGTTATATTTTTCTAGATTTCTTTATCTTCCTCTTTAAATAACTTCATGTATTTGTCCGTGTAATTACATTATTTAATGTATTCAGCAGCTTTCTTATCAAGTACTTTTACTCTGGAGTAATTTCTTGATTGGCTACTTTTAATTTTTGAGCGAAGGGAGGGCGGGGCTTAATGTCTGTCACTGGCCACGTGGAGACATGCTCCTTGTTTTGTTTTGTTGCTGCAAAGTGAAGAGAGTTCAGGCTCTTCCTCTGCCTTCCAGAGGAGCTGCTGAGGCCATATGAACGAAGCTGCCTTTAGAAACACTTCAGTTCTCCTCATGAAATCTCTCTTAAAATCTCTTTAAAACAGGATATTTGTCTTATGGGCGATTCTGTGTTTTAAATGTTGTTATTGCCATTGATGTGTTTTTATCTTGGTTTCTAAAGTGACCTTGAGTTTCCAGAGAGGCGCCTCTTAAAGAAAGTATTATCACTTTCAGTCATGGTGCAAAGATGACTACTTTTGTCCTGCGGACAAGAATGCACTGTCCACACCTTCCCCACTGTCTGCCCTCTGCACTGTCCACACTGTCCACTTTCTCCACAACTTCCACACTGTCCCCACTCTGTCAGCTCTGCCTACACCTTCCTGCTCTGTCTGCAGGGAAGTGAAGCTGCTGTTATCGGGTCGACGCAGACGGAGAGCAGCCCAGCCTCAGAAACAGCTCCTATCTTATCTCTAAAGCTCATGTCGGCTGG